GAAGGAAGAAAAAAAGAAATAATTCAAGTAAGTTCCTGGCAAACACAAACACACACGCCCCCAAATCTTTGAAGCTCTTGATGTAAACTTATTACACAATTTCTTGGCCTTTATGCTTCCTAAATGACTACTCAATTTTATTAAGGCATAATGTTTACAAATGGAAGGACCTGATTGTACATTCCATCTACCAACTCAAACTTAAGGATACAATTTTGGAAAAATCCTACGTCTAAAACTAGTTGCTTTGGAGAAGAAATTTTGCTAATTAAATCATATAGATATCATAAAGCTTCAGCAAGAACTAAGAGTTACTTTCAGTTCCTCTTTGAGAACTATATTATTAAAAACCCTTAAACTAAGGCCTTAAAAGCTGAAGGATAAATGCCAGAAGAGCTCATCAGTAAAAATACAGCAGAGGTAAAGAAGAATTGATCTTGAATTACCAAAGTGGAGAATAAATGAAGGGAGAAAAATATATTAAGAGGCCAGGCTCAGTTCAGCCATAGGAGCAAGAAGAAGAATATTAAAACCTTTAGAAGTTCAATATAATATTTAAGAATGGGTCCGTTTGAATAAACTGAAAAAGTATAATACTGATAAGACAATGGGATGGAACAGAACCATTAACTGAATGAAAGGTTTTAAAAGGCCTTTGGTGCCTGGTATTACAGGCAAATACCCTTTTTTCTTGGCAAGTTTGGACTCATTTCACCCTCTGCGTTCTGTAACAGGACAAGCTACATAACAGAATTATAGACCTTATTAGGTACCACAGGGATATATTTTTCAGATTTCATCACAACAAATCAAGTTATCACCTGTTGTCAATTATGAGGAAGTGACAACTAAGTCAAGCTCGTGCCTTGGGAACCCAGGTGGCTGCTGTATGGACCACTGTGGCCGTAATGATGGCTATAAGGATGGTAGTGTTGACTGGATTCTTTGACTTCACTGGAGTGCTTACAAAAAAAAAAGACAAGCTCAGGTCCATTAACTCTTAGCGCAAGTCAGTCTGAGAACCAGAGTTTCCATGACAGCTGCAAACAAAGCTCTTGTTTTTTGTAGCTACAAGGCTGATATTGCTGAAACTCATACACAAAATTTAGTTGTGTGGCCTGCTGAATTAAGAACAACAGTTGAATTTATAATCTTACCAAGTTTCTCATGTGAAAGTTAGGAAACTGACAAAGAATGGGACTTGGAAGCTTTGAATGTAGACATCTGTTTGGATCCTAGTGAAACTGATAACCTTGAACCCCTCAGGTCACTCTGAGTCTCCCGTACTAGTGCAAGTAGCCTGCCTTCCAGAGTTTTTAGAGAAGACAAGCCTTCCTCAGCTTGAAAGCCCTATAATAACATCTTCTTAGACAGATGCTTTGAAAAGGGATGCCCATCCTTTTCAAGACCTACCACGACCATCCAGTGACACCCGTAACTAGAGTCACATCTCAGCAGGTTCTAGGGGGACAGGTACACACAAGAANCCAGGAAGAGCACAATGATGGTGCCAAATTGGGCCAGTGAAGCAACATCCTCCACAACTAGACTGAAGAACAAAAACGACAGCAACTTGTCTGTCAACCTTCCCCCAATTCCTCAGTGCTGTTCCTATCCCCCAATTCCCCAATAAAAATCTAAAAAAAAAATTCCCATCAAATCACACTTGGTACTTCAAAGTTCATCCCTAATTCTTTAAGCCTGACCTGTTGTAAGTGCAAAAAATTACTACTTTCCATGCTTACAACCTCTCCTTCTGCATCTTTTTTGCCACTCCGGGTATAGATGAGAATAGCACAGCATCTTTAGGATGCAGTGTGTATACTTATAGAGTCACAAAGAATCACAAAGGATAAATGAATAATAAAAAGTGACTTAAAAAGAACACCAGGCTGGGCCAGCTGAGTGGCTCAGTTGGTTAAGAGTGCAAGCTCTGAGCAACAGTCGCTGGTTCGATTCCCACATAGGCCAGCGAGCTGTGTCCGAGTTGAGCTGCTAACAGGTGGCAAGATGGCTCAGCTGGTGAGAGCACGTGCTTCTAACAACAAGGCTGCCAGTTTGACTACCGCATGGGATGGTTGGCTACACCTAACCACAACTAAGATTGAACACGGCACTTTGAGCTGAGCGGCCACAAGTTGCCGACGGGCGGCCGGATGGCGACTGGACTTGGAGCTGAGCTAGCTGCACCCTCCACAACTAAGACTGAAGGACAACAACTTGGCTGTTTCCTTTCCCCAATAACATCTTAAAAAAAAAAAAAAAAAGAACACCAGGCTATATTTGTGAACCCAGAACTACTGTCTTAAACACTCACTTATCTAAATCTTCACGTGCCACAGCCATATGATAGGCGGTCTCCAATGTCAGGACTCCTTGAAACAGTTGCATGGCTAATGGCAGGTTAGTCTCCACATTCTCAATGGCATAGAGAGCTGAGCACACACAGTCTGAAGCAGCTTCATGTAGGTTGGATGAGGTCTTATCTTGTTGCTGGGAAATAGCAGGAATAGGGAAGAAGTATGATCATTAAGCTATAATCCAAGCAATATGTAAATCATTATAGCTTGTTTCTGAACATGCAATTTAAATGCCTAAGAGCCTGACAGTCATGGCCTTCGACAAGACAATATCCATCCATCTTTCCAGTGCTATTTCTAAATATTCTCCTGCATGCCAACCAAATCAGACTTTTCTATACCTCATGATCACATGACTTCTAAAATCCATGTTTTTTTCCATACCAGTCCCTCCAAATGGAATGCCATGTGTTTCCTGCCCTATTTGGTCTGGAAATTGTTCCATCTTTTCTGACATTCAAGTACTATCTAAAATGAAAGGGCCCAACAAGTATCAAGGACCCATATATAACACATCAGTGTGATATTTCAGAATATCAAAGTTAAAGAGAGGTTCTTAAAGCTTCTGGGGAGGAGAAGGTAACTTAGAAAAGAGCAAAAATCAGACAGTTATCCAGCTTCTCATTAGCAATGATGTCTGCCAGCACACAAGAGGACTTGAAAATTGTGAAGGAAAAGAATACTGAATTCTATGCCTAGCTAAACCATCAATCAAGGATGAAAGCAAAATAAAAATATTTCTCAGGCATGCAAAAACTCAAAGTTTACTTCCCACATATCCTTCTGAGGAAGGTATCTGAGAAGGCTCAAAAAAGAGTTAATCCAATCCAGAAGCATAGTAAAGAGAAGTCCCAGGATGGCAGCTGGGAGCAGATCTAAAGAACAACTGATACAAATGAGAGAAAATCAGAAGGTTCAAGGAGGGAGGCCTCTAGGGTTTCTATTTAGCAGAGTGCAGTTGAGAGGCTAGATAAATTTAGTGAAGGCATATTAGTCTTTTGTGAATAAGAAAAAACAAAGACATTCAGGATCCTGGGGTGAAATTGAGTGGTGGATTCAAAAATATTCAATGTATTACTATGTTTTAAAAATTAAATAAATGTTCAGACTTATTCTTTTGCATATATCAAGCACTGTATTTTTAAAAAGTTTTTAAAGTAAGAACTATAGGAGAAAAAGCTATATAAGAAAGTCATGGTCCAAATACAAAGCCAACTAAAATATGGCATAATTTTGAACCACTGAATGAATTTAAGAATGAGGATGTATTTGACCCTGACTCTAGAAAAACTCTTCTTCTAAGAGGAGTCCTGACAGTGGGTCAATAGAGAAGATAACATAATCAAGGCACACTACTTAGCTTGTTACTTACCTCAATCTCAACACCCAGAAGACACCACTGTTTTAAGTTTGAAGCATATTCTAGACTGTCCTCCATTCATATGTAAACATATTTATAAATTTTTAAAATAAAAGTAGGATTTAATTTATTTATGCTGACTATTCTTCAATTTGGTGAAAGGAGAATCAAAATTTCCATTACTGAGGTAGGGCACTGACAGACATGGAGGCAAAGACAAGTACTAGCAAAACAATTATATCAGCATCCTAACTGAGTCTTAGCTTTTGGTGAAAGAAAGACAGCAGCAATATACTAACAATAATGAAATGTCAAAAATGTCTCCAAGAATGTGCTTTCCTTTTCTTTCTTTAATTCACTATCAATCTAGAATCATGATACCATCTTCTAAAAAATAGTGTACAAGCATACAACCATTATACACAGAGCTTTCATACTGATATGTTTTCATGGAGGGAAACCACCCAGGACAAAGAGACACAGTCATTCCCATCTGCAAGGACTTGCTCAATATTTGTGCTTGAGATATTGCTATGTTGTTTTGTCTAAAACTAGACTTACTCTAAGTACTCACTTATTCCTATCTACCAAAAAAGAGAAATGTATTAGTAGGCACTGTTACTTTCAAAATTTAAGGAAGAAATGCACAAACATGTAAAAAGACATTACTTATTCTGCTAATCTCAAAAACCCAAAATCCATCCTATACATACCCTGATTTTTAACTATCTCAACTACAAAGATAATATTCTGATCTATAACTGTCTCAAAGACCCAATGAACATTATTAAAACACAACTTTATACTTTAAAAACACGAAACCAATGGTTTTTTGTTACTTGGATTTTAATATGTAAATCATTGGTCTACATATAAGGCTGCTTTCCTACTAAACCTAACTACACTCTATTCTGAGTACTATAATACCTTGATTTGGTACTTGGGCAACAAGGAAGGGGCACTGCTGCTTTCCAATCACTGTGCAGAAATCTGAAAACACTGTTATGTCCCAGAAGGTTAGTCACTGTGAACTATGTGGCAGAAATACTTTCATAAACAAAGCCATTACTTACCAAAACCTCAAAAAGGAGTGCTAGTAACTTATTGTTAGCCATGAAGTTACTGTCCAAAACCCCCAAGTTAAACCAACTTCCCAAACAGCGAAAGACCTTCATAAGCATTTTCTCATCTGTTCCTGCTTTTTCTACACAGGTCATCTGAAAAGAAGAAAAAAGTCAAAACAAACAATGTCAATCTTTATATTTAAGCCACTATTACAATCAGGTGTAATAATGAGAAGGATGACAACAGTAACAGGTAAGAGTTAAAAGTGCTTTGTAAGGGCCAGATTTTGTTCTCAATACTCTTAATTCATTTAATCTCCACTAAAACTCT